TGTGTGTGTGTGTGTGTGTGTGTGTGTGTGTGTGTCGGGTTTCGTGACGTAATGACGGTGAAGCACGCGTTGCTACGCACCCCACTAATTACGAGGCACCGAGCGCAATCGGACCCTCCAAGCGAAATCCGGCCAACCTACGCCCTTCGAGCCTCGGCCTCCAGGCGACCGAGTTTCGCGGAACCGTGTATCACGAGCGCGCGCTGCTTAACGACACGTGGTTCGTTTCCGCATGGCCGATTCCACCCTTCCGCCAAGGACGAGTCTACCTAGCCTGGTGAGTGTGCAAATGAAGATGAAGATGCGACGAGAAGTGAATTGGATCTTGCTGAAGAACGGCTCCGTCTGTCGGATTGCGTGTACATTTGAAAGTTCACGGGTTTGGCTTTTGTTTCTGGCGAACGTGAGGAACGATGTTCGACAGGAGGTTGTAACTGGAGTGGGAAATGGTAATTGGGGCGGTCGAGTCTATGTAGAAGTGGCCTGCTTGAGTTCGAAGAAAGGAAATTGAGAGGAGGTAGAACCAAACGCTCTGCAACGGTATTTGAACTTCCGCGTTTTAATTGGAATCTGTGTTTAGGTTCTGGGCAAGTTAGCCTGTTAGAAAGGACGAGAATTTTTGTCTCTTTTGAAGCTTAATTAAGGCAAGAAATATACACATAACATATAAAAGATAAAAAAATGTAAATTCATTTCTTTGGTAATTCAATAGTTGTTTTAAATTTGATAGATTCTCACTTTGATGCAACTGCAGTGTCTACGCGTTGGCGTTTTGATATTTTATTAAATTTAAGTAACATCATACTGTGAATTAACGCTAACGTAACAATGCAGATAGAAATTTTGAAAAATATGACTTCACTAGAAGGCAAACAGAATTTTAAAAAAGATGTATCGTAGTTAGTTGACAGAATGAGAATAAGTAAACAGTGTCTCGCTTAACGCATCCGCTACTGCTAAACCCGACAGTAGAAGGGATGTACAAGGGATGTGTACTTACCTATCCTTCCCAGGATTTCCGTCACTTCGTCAAAGTAGAATAGGTCAACCGAAAACGTCAGTTGTACAGTCACAGTTACTATCATTTACATTATTGCACACAATGTGAAAATTATATGTTTTAATAAGAAACTCGATTGATTATTAAAATATTTCTACCCAATATCTGTTTATTTTGCAATTTCTAGCAATATATTAATAAATAACAATATCATTAACTAACTAATATTAAATAGTAAATGATAACTAATATTAAATATTAAATTATCGATAAATATTATATAATAAATTTCATCAATTATTAAACTACTTCCATCCGATATGTGTCCTCGTCTTATTTTGTAATTCATATCCGTAATAATTGAATTACTTTAATATAATTCTGTTATTAATTCTGTTAAAAATTATTGAGAATCATTATGTCATTATAAGACATTTTTTTTTTTTTCAAAAATTGATATTTTCCCACAAATATTTCGTTTAGAAAGCATTATACAATTATTCAGTCTCATGGCCAACTTTATCGAGCCATAATTTCTTGGCGCAGAAAATTTACGACTCACCTATCGCAGAGTAATCAGGAACATCTTTCTGCCACTAATATTACTGACGTTGCTGACTCATGCTGAAGATACATTCGTAGTAAAGTTTCAGTTAAACGATGTACGTACATCACACAGGAAATCTGTTACAAAAGATAATATAATTTAGAATATATTCTAGACTTCAAAAATGGCAATTTTATGTGATTTTTCAATTTTAAATGAATTTATTATACGGTTAATACATGTGTCGGTTTTTATAAAGAAAGAAATATGACCGTCATATTTCATATTTCCTTTAAAAATTTTATTACGTTACACGTACCGAGAATAAAAATTATTAACTTTTATATAATTGTGCAATGAAATATAAATGTATTTCAAATAAATGTAATGAAATGAACGTACTAATCAAACTTTGTTATTACACTGAATAATCGCGTTTCATATAATCGCATTTATGTTTTATTTTATACATGGATAATAAAGTAGCAATATATTAACAATATAAATTGTATTTCTCTCATATAAGATACGAAAGAAGTAAAAATACGCACCACTAAAATTCTTCGACACTACAGCAAGTTGCACACTGAATCATTAATCAGAAGCTATCTCTTCGATATATCGCAAACATTGATAATATCGATTGTACTTTGATGCCTTCGAAATATCCTTACGCCATATTTTTCTCAAATGATCAGATAAAAAGAATTCCTGAATAAATAAAAAATAAGAAATGTATTATATTTATATAATATATTATAAAATCACTTAGCGTGTTATGACATATTAATAAAATATGAAATAAATAAAAATTATTAATCGACAGGAAATCCTACATACATGGTATATCCCTATGTTGCTAATTGAATTAGTAATCACAAGTATAACTTGAAAAGGAAAAAGATATTGAAATTAATATTATATATATATTTAATAAAAATTATCTATCAAGTCCAGCACTTCGCGTTTTATCGATATTTTTAAATTCTAAAGTTTAAGGTAACCTATATTTTATAACCTATGTCTGAATATACATAATCGGACACAGTTAAATTAACTGAAAATTAAATATTCGAAATCCTTCGAATTACTTTTTCACTATGTTTCTCACAATTCTTATCAATATCAAATTTTTCAATAGTGTAATAAATTATTTTATGAATATTGAAATTGTTTAACCTTGTAGTTCTAAACTTATTTGCTCGCAATACTTACATAAAATTTTCATAGATTTAAGACTCCCTGTATGCTTTTATCGATCTCTTTACAAAATAACAGAATGATAAACTTCTTGCTACAGATAAATTAGAATATCGATATATAGATTGTGTGCTCCGTTAAGTCAATACAATAAGTCATTTCAAAAAGCCTCTTGAAAGGAAAGATATTTCGATGCGCGTCAAATTAATAATTGACTGTCGCTTGTAAATTTCTTCTGTTGACTACAGTAGTTGTTGGCTTATGTAAAAGATAAAAGATTACGCAGTATGCAAAAGATAGCAAGTTTTAGGGAGTATTTAAGACGATCATGTTGAGAACAATATCTCAACTGACTCGTGTAGTAGCGCCGTCTCAAATATGGCTGAAACATCAGTCAGAGTGTAGTCTGTACAGTATAGTTGGTTGCTGCGGTGGCTCACGTAACGATTTATCTCGTATTATTACGCATCAGTCTAAATGTTCCGTGTCTTGCCTATACAAAACTGCGAAAAGAGAGTTCCAGCAGTCCAGTAAACCTGCTGTCATCACATGCAGCGGGACAAAAGAAGAAAAAATGGCACCAACGCGTGTTATTCTTATGTCGTGCGGCAGTTACAATCCTCCAACCAACATGCATTTAAGAATGTTTGGTACATATATGTCATTCTTTATAATCAATATGGACTCCTTGCGTAAACACAAGTATTTCGATATATACGCAGTAGACGAATTGTATGACATTTGTGCTTTGTTGGTTATTTGAACAGATCAGAACATTGTTAAAATAACCTGTGTAAACAATCTAAGTTGATATTATAGTTGCACACGTATACAAAAATTAGTATACGATATTAAGCTTTGATCAGATTTGTAAATGAAATGTTGTATCAATAAACCAGCCCAGATTATTCGCAAATTTTTTCTCATTATTTTAATTTTGCTCTCTTAGGGTTGCAGTTATGATATTAAATTGTAATTAATATCCTTGGTATATAGATATTTTGTGTGGAATAACTTTTCATCCGAAATTTTCAGAGATTGCCAGAGATCATCTTCATAGAATGGGAACGCACATTGTGGTTGGTGGTGTTATATCTCCTGTACATGATGCATACGCTAAGAAAGATTTAGCAGCAGCAACGCACAGATGCGCTATGTTGAGATTAGCTTTACAGAACAGTGATTGGATTTATCTTAGTACTTGGGAAACTAGGCAAAATTGTTGGACGAAGACTAGAATAACTTTACAGTACCATCAGAATTTATTGAACTCTGTGTTATTTGACTCAAATAATGTTAAACATAATATACCAATTGAAGATCTGGAATGGATTCCAGACAATGTAAGAAATAGTTCTGATCGTACTCCAATTCAAATTAAACTCTTATGTGGTGCTGATTTATTAGAAAGTTTTGGAACTTATGACCTTTGGGCTGAAGAAGATGTAAGTGAATATTTCGTTGCTTATTGTATTATGCTATTTATATATTATTTATGTTTTGATAATTTAAAAATATTTTTTAAATTTTTCTTTGCAGATTGATGCTATTGTTGGAGAACATGGTTTGGTAGTTATTACGAGGGAAGGTTCTAATCCAAATAAGTTCATATACGATTCAGATATTCTTTCTAAATATATGGTAATTAACCTCTTGTCAGTGATTGTTGCGTATTTTTTGTATTTTCCTAATATTCTTCTTATAATTAACTTCTGTGTAGCACAACATATACATAGTAACTGAATGGATTCCAAATGAAGTTAGCTCAACTAGAATAAGGAGAGCGTTTAAACGAGGTGAGAGTGTCAGGTATCTCCTGCAAGATGCTGTGATTGATTATGTCTATAAGCAAGGAATTTATGATGCAAAATCAACAGCATCAACAATGTGAGTTTAAATATAATTTCACTGCAATGATAGTTCATTTAATTAGTGAAAACTTAATAGTATATCTTCCAGTAGATTTAAACAAAGATTTATTTTTATGTATTTTGTACGAGAAGTATATTTTTATAGCATTCATATTCCACGTAGTTGGTGAGTTCAGAGTGTACAGAATTGGTTAATCCTAAGTTGTAAAACTGTTATACACGATTGTGTATTTATAATTAAAATTTAACCCTTCTAGTACTCAGTAACATTGATACATTAGCCGTAATATCGATTACAATAATTAACATGTTGACTTTTAAAAGTATGAATTTTTTAAATAAATACTGAATGAGAATAGAGATCTAAGATTGTTGTTTCGACTATAACGATTTTTAAATGTTTTGTAAATAATATAAACAATTAAAACTACTAAAAAGAAATAATGTATAATATACAGATTTATTTTATAAAGGAATGTTGTAATTTTTAGATATACATAGTTACTGATACATCGATTACAAATATGTATAGTCTATTTTTGATAAAATTGTTTAAAATTAGATATCAGATCTTGTTGATAAACATATTTTAAGAGTAAAAGTATTTTTATTGATTTTTTCGAGTTATTTATTTGATAAATACTCGTATAGATGCCAAAGAGTTCTTAAAAGAATTTTTATTGAGTGTTAAAAGGGTTAACAGATGTACAAACAATATACAGCAATATATTAGTCTAGTCTAAGAGTCTTTCATTTTGTTATGTAAATTTAATCAGACCTATTTTCTATCACTGTAATAACAAATAAATTTTTGCAACTGCATTTCTTTCACTTTCTTACGTTATGTTAGCTCTTGTAAATAGTTGTACTTCATTTGTTAATCGTGGTAAAAGTACCGATTCATGGATAAAGCTAATCTTCCTTGCTTTGAAACCAGTATCAAACCAACAAAATAAATAATTTACGAGACGCATATCTCTTTTGCAAATTCGACGAGTAAAAATTAACGGACCAATTTTTGTCCTGAATCGGAGACTTCTACCGAGCACTGACGAAGATCGTATAAAAAATAGTGTCTTGTTTTTCACGCTGCCAATCTACTTGGACACTGAAGTAAGTTGGAACTGACCTCGCCCAATGCGAATAATTACTTGACCATTGATTCCAAGTATCAAAGCACCTTTCTCACGCCGTCGCCTAGCGACGTTACCATGGAATCCCCGAGTCCGATCGAAATTATATCCATCGATGTGCCTGATACCGTTCTACGTAAGAATATCCAGAATGCAACGAACGTGGCCTGCGTGGCCTCCCGCCACGTCGGCAGTGGCGGCGGTGTCGGCGGCGTCGGCGGCGTCGGCAGCGGCCTCGAGGAGGCGCGCGAGAAATTCATTAACGCTCTCCTCGCCGAGAACGGTAACGCCAAACATATAACGACCGCGAAGGCCGCGTATCCAGGTCTCGCGAAACAGATCATCGCCACCGAAACCGGCGAGTCGCAGATCCTCGACGAGGTAGGTTTCGTTGACGATGATAGAAAGGTCAGAAAGGTGGTCAGGGTACAGCCCCGATCGAGTCAATTGGAAGAGGTGTCCCCGGTTGTCGCCACCTCGTCGAAACGCGAGAACCTCGTCAAACTTAGTACGAGGCCGTCAATCGAGGCGAAAGACAGCGTAGCTAAGTCGTCGGAGGCTAGTAGTAGGCTTCGTGTCGAGCACGACGTCGTCGATGTAGGATTAGGAGGCGGTAGAATCAAGGATCGCGAGGCTAGGTCTTCGATCTCGTCTTCGACTGTCTCGTCCTCGACAATATCCGCCAAAGACAACGGCGGTGGACGCCACGAAGGCGCTTTGTCAGACTTCAGCGTGGACAAAGAGGATTACAGGCTCACGCGGTATGGTTTGGACGACGACACAGTCGAAGATGATGTCCAAGACGAGCGTAAGGATTCTCGGTTAGACGAGCAGCGATTGAGCGATTCGATCGAGAGTCAGCAGGAGAGTCTACTGCACAAAACTCAGCCTACCGATCGAACGGGAAGCGACGAGGTCCACGATCAGGACGGCTTTCCCACTGATAGCGTTCGATGCTCGAACACGCAGGTGTTAGTGTTAGTCAGCGCGATGATTCACAATCCTTTTGACAAGGAAGGTGCGACGTTGATCGTCGAAGAAAACGGGGTACAGGGTAAAGGTGAGATCATGATATACAAGGGGGAGTCGGATGGAAGTATCGACAAGTTGAGTCTTCTGGTACAGTCGCCTGTTCCGTCGTCCGTGAGCGACGAGAGCACGGTAAAGATACAAGAGATAGTCGACGATGGAACCGAGATCGTAAGAGGGGATTCCGACGATTCGTTGTCTCTAGATGACAAATCCTCGAAGCGGGACGTGAGTTTGGAGATAGACGGTAAGTACGTGAAGTCCGTGGTGAACGCACGCAAGAGTCCCAGGAAGACGAAGAACGGCCAGATGCGAATATACAGCGAAACCGACGACAGGAAAACGACGCAAGAGAGCGAAACGATGGAGAAGAGCGTGGACTCGGGCACACAGTCCGAGGAAACGTTCTACAAGACTGTATCGAAATCCTCGAAGGCTTCCTCGTCAATGTCGAAGAGTCCTAGGAAAGAAAGTAAGTCGCGATCAAATGGTCAAAGAGCGACCAGCTCATCGCGATCGAAGATTCACGAGTCAACGATCAGTGACGAGAGAACTAGAAAAGTGAAACGATACGACGCCCCTTTGAAGGGCAGTCTCGATTCGGTGATCAATGCGAACGATTCCAGAACGGTGTCAAGAAGGAGGTCGAAGACCGAGGAAACGTTCTCGAAGAAATCGAAGAGCTACGAGTCGATTAAGAAAATGCAGGAGGTATGTTACGAGGATGCTTCGAAAGCTGACAGTACTTCCCAATTGATCACAGCGAACGAACTCGACATGCAGACGGACGAATACTGCTCTGTCTGTTGCTACGTGAATGAATTATCCTTGAGGACCGAGGAGGTAATGGGAACGGAAGAAGCGATCTTGCGTTCCAACTGCAGTTCCATCGTCGACGAAGATTCCACAGAATGCGATATTTGTAGCTCTTGGAATTTGCAAGAGTCGACCGACACGTTGGATCGGAAACTCATTTCCTCGGCGACCGATTGTGACCAGTTGTGCGAGGTCTGCGAGATCTGCAACGAGATCTGCGCCACGTTCAATCCCGACCAGGAGCCGAGATCGTACTCTGTCAGGGAACCAAGAGCGTTCGACTTTTCGTCGAGAAGTCTTCCGAAGGATAGTTCCAGAATCGGCGACAGTATCGCGACTGATCCGTCTTTAGACGAGGACAGCTTCGAGATCGAGAACTGCGGCTTCCAGAGTGGACCGGAGTCAATGGACGACCGGAAGTTAGGCGATCAAATGATCGATAAACAATTATCCTTGTCTTTCAATATTTCCGACTCGGTTGTTATTAAGAAGAAATCACGCGACAAATATTTTATTCCCAAAGACGAGCTGGCTATCCTGGCAAGCGGCGGCAGACGCATGAATCGCAAGGGATCGTTGTTCCGGAAGAAACCAGCAGAGGATTCTGTCAATGTTTCTCAGGACAAGAGGCGTTACTCCTCGGTGGATAATCTTCAATTGGCGAAAACATCTTCCAGAGGTAACGAGAAAGTTCTCAGGCCCAAGAACAGCAAGGTGATCGGGTCTGCGGACAATATACGCTCTTCCAGAAACTCCAGAAGATGCAAATCGTTGCAGAGATCGGCGGACAATGTTCGACACGTGGACTCGTCCACGGACAATTTGGATTCCTTGGTGGAAAGTTTAGGAAGGGAGGATGAAACGCCGGATAACATGAACTGGACGGAGAAGCCTAAAGTCAGGGATAACGAAACTGTAAAGATGATTCTGACCAAGCACGGAATTAAGATAATCAGCGAGAAGGAAACTGCTCTGTAATGAAATTAGAATGAGAGGATATATATATATACACAAATTCAACGAATTCGAAGGAACTTAATTTGTCCGAGGGAAATCGCTCACGTTAGTTACGTTACAAGATATATATATGTACATTATATATGTATGTATATACGTTATAATATATATACGACACGAAATTAGTTTGAACTCTTGTTAGGCCAACTGCAAATTCTAGAATGCAGACTTATCGACTCTCTTGTGATAATTCTGACCGATACATCGTCTTCAACAAGATACAAGATTTTTCACATTATAATAGAAATCTAGTTAACGAATATACGAATATACGTATCTATATAAAGAGAAAAGAAGGGGGGAAAAAAAAAAATATATATATATACACATATACATATATATTTATAACTCGGGAACAGATTCTTCACCGAGAGAAAAAAGAAATGCCAAATGTTACGAGATTTGATCCTATATTCACAGATTCTATTTAATTAATAACGACAATGTTCACGTGATAGAGACTCTTCACGAATATTTAACGAAAAGGAAGTATTGTATAAAAAGAGAAGGAAAGAAGTGTGAAAAAGAAAAAGAAAGATCTCAAAGCGTGGCACGTTGTTCGTCACGAATAGGAGTGAAAGAGTTTTCAAATGATAGGCATAGGAGAGTACAGGCCTTGGGGGAACTTTATTAGGGAATGCAACTAGAGAAAACGATATTATACATGTATATTATTATCGCTGCTATATTGAACGTGATTTAAACGAATTAAACGAACGGCGGGGTGTTTCATTATCGCGTGCGTTGGAAAGGAACATTTAAGAGAGCTCGATAAATTGAAACGAACATGAAATAACTTCTTAATAAATGAGAAGATGAGAGATAATCGTGAGAGAGAAACTAAGAGTTTTGGACAACGCACGAGAGCACCGAGAGAACAGCAAATTATCGAGACAATCCTACAATTAACTCGTCAATATTAAAAAAAAAAATAATAATAATAATATTAATGAAAAGAACGGTTTCGATTAACCATAAAGTATTCTATACATATAAACTATAATAAACGATGCGTTACCGATGGGCTGCGGCACATCGATCGGGGAGAACGTGATTAATTAATTGTCGCTTCCAATGGAACCCGCTGATCTCAGTTTGCCTTTCGTTGTGTGCACAAGAAGAGAGAAATTGAACAGAGGAAAAGACAGACTCTCCATGAGAACTGGAGATTATTCGTGAATGATACACCAATGACGAGTCTAACGATATAATAATTAATTAATTGATTACGGTCTACACGAACAAACATACGTACACGCATACATACACAAACACCTCTGCCAAACAATTTTTTATTAAGAACGTGCCAATTGTTTTCTAATACCTTTGTAGACATCGTGTTTTTTACTCTTTCGAACGGTGTGTCCCTGTGTATGATAGTTTTTCAACTCGTCGATACTTTCTCAACAAAAAACGATCCGAAGAGAGATCGTGAAGGGAGAGGGAAAGAAAACGAGAAAACGTTCCTTGATTCCGTCACTGTCACACATCGAGCGTAACGCGTAAATTTTCCTCGAGATATATACGTATTATATATCCCTTCTAAGTATCTTGCAAGCAGTATTTTCTTTCCTTTTTTTTAATCAATCTCTTTCGTATCTTTTTGTACCCTATGTGCACGATGTCATGCGCCTCTCTCTTTGTCGCAAGTCTCGCTTTGAGAAATCCCTCCAGCGATCGTAATTGCTGTCTTTTTGCGAGTATCTTTCCCTAAATATCGGCGAGGAACCACTCCACTGCATCTAACTGTGATGAAATCGTTCGTGAAACGAGAAGAATATACACACAGAAATCTGTGAAAAGTATCTTTCT